TTTTCCTAAAAAGCAAAGAGCAGTGGCCACAAGAGAGCGCCATCTAGAGCACACGTAGGCCTACCGGGAAGTTTTCCTAAAAAGCAAAGAGCAGTGGCCACAAGAGAGCGCGATCTAGAGCACACGTAGGCCTACCGGGAAGTTTTCCTAAAAAGCAAAGAGCAGTGGCCATAAGAGAGCGCGATCTAGAGCACACGTAGGCCTACCGGGAAGTTTTCCTAAAAAGCAAAGAGCAGTGGCCACAAGAGAGCGCCATCTAGAGCACACGTAGGCCTACCGGGAAGTTTTCCTAAAAAGCAAAGAGCAGTGGCCACAAGAGAGCGCCATCTAGAGCACACGTAGGCCTACACTACAAGTCCATGGCGACCAGTCAGTAAAAAAGCCTGTACATTGTAGATTTTCCTGTTCTTTCTAAAATCAACAGCAGGTCTTCCTTCAGACAAGTTGGTAGACTTTCAGTCTGTACAGCGTTTTCAGGGACCTTTGGCTCCTCTGATATTACATCATAATGATGATAATGTAAGCGTATCCTCTATTGTTTGTTCTCTCTCTCTCTTCACTATTTTCGAAAGCTGTCCCCGTCAGATTATGCGATTGTGCGGCCGCGGCGTGGCTGCGTTTTTTTCGCATAATTTAGGATCCCCCCGTATTTTCACGTTTTTTTTGCATTTTTCACAATACAGTTTATCGGACTAAAGACATCGCTATGTGAGTAAAGGGAAGTAGTCACATGAATAAGTCTCATTTAAGTGACGAGCTGGTTATTTCCCTTGTTAGAAGATCTTGGGATTTACTAACCTAAAAAGTAAGAAAGATATATTTTTAGGTCAGTGGGTTTTTAGGGTTAGGGAATTTGTTTCTTGTGTCTGTTCAATTTTTCAATCCATCAAAAGTTATTCTCATGCTGATGTTTCATGTTTGACAGGTGTCCCTGGTTTTAGTGATGTGCCAGCGTCAGATGTCCAGATGTCTTTTATTCTAATTAAAAAAAAACCTTTTTCGGTCCTCTATAACACAGCTCTGAAAGTTAAGGAGATTATATTTTTTGGTTGTTGTTTTTCTGACCGATGTGCATTGCTTTCTTTCCAAAAACACAAAAAAATTACTGGTACTGAATACTTATATATTTTGTTTTCAATTCTTCTACACAAAACATGAAAATTCTTGTCGAAAAAGTGCAAAACATGTCGTGAATGGCGTTACAGTAACTTGCATAATTTTTGCATAATTTTGTATTCGTCTTGCATAATTTGGCCATCTAAATTTGCATAATTCTGCGGGGACAGCAATAAGAAGTCAGCCTCAACTACAAAACCGGTGTTTTTCCACAGCGTTTCTGTCGACTCACACAACTGTTCCTGAACAGATACAGGACTTTCGTGTTACACCGGTACATACATTATTAAACGTACACGCTGTTGGCGACTTGAAAGAAACCTCTCAATAAAACTGTCGTATTCTATGACTCATGGTAGAAGGGAACAGGGAGTGTGCGTGTGTGTGTGTGTGGGGGGGGGGGGGCCGATATATATATATATATATATATATATATATATATATATATATATATATATATATATATAATATAATATAATATAAGGAACACAAATGGCAATGTCACTGGAAGGGAGAAAGGGATGTCCACGACTAAGACTGATACAACCACAAGACGTCATGTCTTTGACAACTAATTTAATCACATTGTGTGTGTGTGGGGAGGGGGGGGGGGGGAGAATCTTAACTTGTGAAGTAATAGAAGTAGTAGGACTTCCATGGTTCTCAACTCAGAATTTTAATTAAAAAAGGAGGAACTTTCCGCATGATCGCGACAGAAGCCCACTTTCGCCAGACACCCATTATCATTATACTGTTGAACCCTATAATGCTGAAATAAAAACCACCAACCTATCAACAAAGCGAAGTTATTTCATACCAATTCGAGGGTTTGGAAGCTAATTAAAGTAAAAGAGTCCAATGAGAGTGCCAACCTGGCTTCTCAGTTTTCTAGGGTCATCCGTTTTCCAAGGGCATGTTACAACATGACAATGACAGTGCGTGCTCCATTTATTTATATGTTTGTGAATATCTGTAATATAATGAGAGAGATAGAGAGAGAGAGAGAGAGAGAGAGAGAGAGAGAGAGAGAGAGAGAGAGAGATTTTATATTATACTCAGCGGCAATAGAAACTAATTGTCCTCTTGGAAAGAAGCCTGTATTGTGGTTACTATTCAACATAATATAAAGACAAAAATTTACACAGACATATTTCAAAGTATGACAAGCAGAGTGCGTTAATTTCGTTTCTTGATCCTGTCACATAGTGGCACAGTGTTAAGCACAAACTGGTACCCCTTGATTCCAAAATTTCAACGGAAGTAGCGCGCATTGTAGCCCCTTGCAATGTGAATGAAGCAGGCTTGGCATGTTCAGCGCATTGATCGAGTCTGGGCTTTCCCCCCCCCCCTTATTTTAGTTAATTGTTGTGACAGCCTATTCCTCTCTTGAATCAACGCTTGTCTCAGTCGTTGCACAATCTTACTGTCGTTTTAGAAGCCACCTCTTAGGCCTGTCAGATCAAGCGTAATTATTGGAAAGATGGCAAACGGTGATTACAAGGCCGCCTTGATGTCTGACTGAATGTGTTGGGAGGCCGTTGTATCCTTCTCTCGCTGATAATGATAACTCTTTCAGAGTTTGTATGAAATTTACGTTCAGAACTGCTCGTTGTGAGAAAGTGATCTCAAAATCAAATATACCAGAGCAGCACACAATGTATCTCATCTGTCTGTCTTTTTAGGCAGTATCGACCTGTGGTCCGCCTGGTCTGGGTCTGTCAGGTGTAACTCCAGTGACTTGGAACCAATCTTTCAGGATATTAATGTAGGAAGTGAACAATGAAGTATCCACGCCACTCTAAGGGCCGATAGTACAGCTTGCAGTATTCAAATTGTCCCAACAGCGCTCCACGGGCTTAACCTTGGCATCTTGTACAGCAATTTAAAATTTAAGTCTATAAAAGCAAGCTGGAATGTCTATGTAATTAGTTTTTTTCAGTTCCAAAATCGCTGACGTGTCGATCTAAACACAATTTAGACGTTTTCATAATTTTGGCGGAACTAAGTCCCAAAACTTGTTAATTTGCACTGGGTCACGTGACCACGAGGTTTGATTTTTATTCAGGAAATAAATCAGCGCGGAGTCATCGTCGGGTGGTGCATGGTGAGTGATGTGCGAAATTTCGCTCACTAACTCACGTGAACAAGGGCGTAGTTACAAAATCAAAGTGGAAAGTCTCTATTGCCGCAGGGTATATAGCGAAAACCACAAAGAAGTAAAATTCAGGGAATACAACTCCGAATTACATCTTACTGCGTCTTCCCCATAAATAACATGGGCTACTTCCCTTCGTTGAAGTGTGACATCCGTGACGTCAGCAATTTTAGTAGAGGGTGGCCACTTCTTCTTCACCACCATGCAGCGAGTTTTAGCCATAGATTTGCATTATAATCCTAGACCATGTACTCTGACGCATTCCTCATCACTAGTGGATGTACACACACCATTTGACTCAATATAAGAAGGGCAATTGGAGAAAGGTGCCGTGCAGCCTCGACCATAGGAAAGATGATATAGAGACTGGTGTCTTTTTTTTGTTTTTTGGTAAGTGTTTTACACATTTTCAGTAGGCAGGAAATTTTTTATTTGACCCAGTTGGCGGCGAAGCCTACTCTTATTGATTATACTGATTTTGGACCACTAAGGAATCTTTAACGCGTGCAACTTGCACATGGGACCTCTGAGATTTTCCCCCCTCATCAGAGAAGGCTGGGTGTTAGATCTTACCTACCATAAGATCAGGGGTGTGGCTGAAAGACAACAGTAAGGAGCCAAGGAGTATCAGTAGAAAGGCTGCAGAAAGAGTCAGGAGCCCAGTGGAGGGGGCAAAGGAGGGGAGAGGGTAGGGGCAGAAAGTGGAGACGAAAGCAGACAAAAGAACATTGTTAGAGAGCAGGAAAGAGGTGAAACGAGAAAATAATATTTTAGAGAAGAAAATTTTTGGTCGCTATCCGAATTCGAACCCGGGACCTATTGAATGAGAGGCAAACACCGTAACCTCTTGACCATGAGAGCCCCCCCCCCCTGCCCATATACAAGGTTTGGACAAGACAACAGCATACCGATGGTGTCGGGGCAAAGCAGGTAAGTCCACGCGTGTAAGCTAATTCTTCAGAAGAAGCAAAAGACTGCATAGCTAAAGTAAAAAAACAATCTTGGTAACGATCTTTTGTGCAAATGTTGGGAGGGATACAGTTAAGTGAGTGTTTACGCAAGCTGGATACTGTAGAACATGACTATAGCGGCACCCACTGCAGCGAGACCTTACCAGAACCCCCTGTTTTTCTCTACGTAAACTCCATTATCTGTGCCTGGGTTTAACGGGGCAAGGAAAGGCCCGAACTTGGATACAGCGGGAGAGATCGAGCGAGCTCTAGCTGGGGGGAAGGGGGTTGAGAGTGGGAGTCTGTAGGCAAGCTCTAAACAGGAAGTCAGCGGTGCAGCGTTGTGATTGGCCAGTCCAGAGATGAGTGAGGTGGGGCAGGTGGCAGAGAGAGATGACACGGAGAGATACGTTCCGTGAGCCACTCCAAAAGTGATGTGCCATAGCCCAAGGCAGGTCAAAAAGTCAAAGAAGAGAAGAGCGTGTTGTGTGTGATTTTTCAGTAATTCCCTTTGCATTCCTGTATCAGGAACTTTCCTACAGTGAGATTTTTCTGCTGGAATTAAAAGTCCCGCTATAGGCATGTTCCATTGTATCAGTACACCTTATGGAAGATCTACAACTGCACTAATAAAGCAAATAAAGAGGTAAAAAAATAAATAAATTGGGAAATCTTGATGGCTTGTTTACACAAGACACCATCATATTTAAGTGTGGTTGAGCCATTTTCTTGATCAGCACACACATCTCCATAGCTATAAATACAACACAAGACGTGACTGTTGAATGTAAGAACTGATTTAATAATTGTTCAAAAATGCCAACACTTCGATGAGACGTCCCAACTGTACTCACGCATAAAATGGCCACTCAGAACCTCCTCCTCCCTGCGCCAACTCCAGCAACACACTCGCTAGTCACAACACACTCACTCACAATCACAATGGCAATGTTGATGACACTCATAGAATTCGTGTTGTACCACACAAGGAATTTCTTGCCTTGAGACAAAACTACAATTCACACCAAATACAACACACACACTGACACACACACAAGCTCTATCAGACACAATATATCATTATTACATTCACCCAGTCAGTTGCACACCCATACATCCCCTCTAAAGCTTCAGCACTTTTCAAAAATACACAAACTTAGAAAACTTTGGGCCAGATCTCTCCACATACTTGTTTGCATCAAATAACAACACTCTTCTCCAGCGAATAAATCTTTAGTTCTCAGCTGTTCATTAACTTTCATTAAGCCATAAAAAGTACAATAAACGAATCGGTGATTAACTGAAATTCATCAATTTCCTCCTTACTTTAACAGTACATTTTTTCTTAATGAAATTAACATAATTAAATCACTATATTTGGTGAACAAATTGCATTATCATTTCGATATATTCATTCACTTCTTAAAAATGCTATAACATAATTTAATCACTAATTTGGTGAGGAATTCTTTACCATTTTGATTTATATATAGTAATAATTCGCCCAATTCGTCAACATCTAACAGTTCAACCAGAGTAAGCCACCGACTGGATAATTTTGAGAGTTCAGTTTGGTTCATGGACATTGAACAAGTCAAAGTTCCCTCCTGCATACACATGGGGTGCTCAGCGCTCAGTCAACAACCTCATCAATCACAGCTCCAGACTCAGCAGCCGCCGGCATCGAGCCTGCCGCTCCCCCAGCACCAGCACTTGCCAGACGCTGAAATGTGACAAGGAACAGAAATAAAGACAAGGAAACAACAGTTAGTGCAGGAGAAAAGATGGACAGACACACACTTGACTTGTAATCAAAAGATGGAAAGCAAAGAAGTAGGACCTATCAGTAGCATCCTCAAACCACTTGCAAAGTTGTGAGTGAGTTTAGTATTAGCAAGAGTTTTATGGAAATTGCTACATAATTAGGTCATATAAACGCTGAAGATTAGAGATGCTACAAGGGTGTAACATACAAAGACAAGAAGGAAAGATAAGGATGAGTAATAGGAGAGAAGAAGCAAACCACACAAGAGCGCCCGCAAAACAACCACAAACATGTAGTGCAGGGGAAAAGCAGGACAGACACATGGAAATGACAGAGGGAAAGAAAAGAAGTAGGACCTATCAGTGGAGTCCTCAACCCTCCTACTAAGTTGTAAGTGAAAGAAACACAGTTATAAATCCGAGACAGGTATGACTCATACGTACAACTCTATGAGAAAGCATCAAAGAACGACACTGGTGGTCAGGGAGACAAGCAGCCACACTTTTTTGTTTGTCTGTTTGTTTTAGTAGAGGTTTTACGGCGGTCGCAACTGCATAAGGTCATATGAGCGCCAGAAGATCAGAGGTGTTACAAGAGAGTAACAAACATAAAAAAGAAAGAGGGGAGATGAGGACGACAGATGTTCGATATTTTGTTTGTCTGAGTAAAGAGAAGCACACTGATACAGTGGCAGCCATTTACCACTAGGGGAACAATAAGATAGATCCACCTGTGAAACCCTTAAACCACCCACTTCTACTCTGAGAAACAACAAGACAGATCCACCTGTGACACCCTTAAACCACCCACTTCTACTCTGAGAAACAATCTGACAGATCCACCTGTGACACCCTTAAACCACCCACTTCTACTTTGAGAAACAATCTGACAGATCCACCTGTGACACCCTTAAACCACCCACTTCTACTTTGAGAAACAATATGACAGATCCACCTGTGACACCCTTAAACCACCCACTTCTACTCTGAGAAACAACAAGACAGATCCACCTCTGACACCCTTAAACCACCCACTTCTACTCTATCTTCTATCGTGTACTGTTACATGAAACACCATCCGAGATCAAGGACAGTTCTGATCAACAAAATGTAAAAATTTTAACTGAAATATAAGATGCCCACATTGACACAATTTAGAGATCATTGATCAAGGAGACAGAGTGAGACTGGAAGAAGAAGAAGCGAGGGGACAAAACGATCTAGGAACAAGAAGCGACACTCACCGCGCCCACTGAGGGTAGTTTCTGGACCAGCAGTGCAAACACCTGAGGGGGAAGTGTCTGCTGTAAGACTTGTAGCAGCTGCTGGGGCTGACCGCACACGGCCACCGCGTTGCTCAGGTGCTCCACACCCTCCTCAATCTCACCTGTTGAGACCACACATTATAGAGAGTGTACCGACAGCGCTTTTGTTTATGTTAAGTAATAAGAAGCACATCAACAGTACAATGGTCTTTTGGTGCAAGGAAGAAAGCAAAACTGATAGACAGAGGGAGAGAAATGAATGTTTAAAATATGTGTGACACTTTTAGAGGATTATGTCCCTTTCCCAGGATTTCGGGGAATGCATCAGGACAAATCCCAAGGAGCTAAATGGTTAAACTTCATTATCTTCAAAATCCTTTATTTCAATATGCAAGTCTCAAGTTTATCTCTAACAAAGCAGGTCCTCAGTGACACGAGGGACAATATCCAACCAAAGAACAATAATTTGAAAAATATCTCCATTGTTGAGAAGATGGTGGCCTCTCTGTCTCAGTGAAGTGACCAGTCCACTACCAAAAAAGCTGGCATGTTTTATCCAAACTTCAGCATAAACAAAATACAACATCAAGTCAGTTTACGCCAAACCTAAGTTCAGTCTGGCCAATATATATATACTTACAGCCATGATTTTTAAAAAATCCCCAGAAATACAGCAACTCATAGTTACTTACCTGTGGCCAGGAGTTCCTCGCCTTTCTGTACTTCTTGCAAGAAAAATTTCTGCATAGCCTCAGGATTTGTCAAATCTGGCAACTGCAGGAAAAAAGAAAGGAGACATATGTGCAAACAAAACAAAGAATATATGTGTCATGATGAGGTGGAATCAGGCGCTCGTCAATTTTTGGGCATGTCGAGTCACTGGTGTCATTGTAAAGCCTGCTCATGTGCCCCGCGTGAGATAAAAAGAATACCCACCTATCTTGAATGAGAGTCGAGATATTTACTATTAAAGAAGGAAGGGTCACTCGGTTTTGGAGGCAAAATTAGCGAGAAAATGGCTGCCAAAGTTTGGTAACTTCTGTAAATTGAGAGTCTCTGAAAACTGAAAATTTATATTTTTTGTGCCTTTAATTAATCAACGTTTTTCAGTAAAATTCACACAGAAATGTGTGGTTACACAGACATGAAAGGCGTTGAGCAAAAAAACCCCCAAAAACTTCAATAAAAATTGCCAAACTGGCTGAAAATTGACCATTTCTTCAATTTCATTATTTTGACGGCGCCTGGTTTAACCACAATGCCTAAAATATACATGTATAAAGAAATAATCTACAAAACAGAATAAGGAGACAAAGTCGCAAAACTTCATGGAAACATAATATATCGTCACAAATAATAATAGTCAAGCTTCTTAGCTCCACACACTCATTCTTGGCGCAAGTTGGCCATGGTATCCAAAATTTTAACTTTTAAGAAAACTGCTGGCAATACCGTTTCGCAACATGATGGTCAACCTCTAACACAAAGTTGGTTTATCCACTGTTCCCTATATCCTCAAAGTTTATCAATCACATGTAAAACAGTAAATTCTCAAAAGCGGTTCACATTAACTCACTCACTACCAGCCATTTTCGGTGTCGCTATTCCCTGAGTATCAGCCATTTTAAGGGTAATTTTTTAAAAAAACTGTGCTTTTTGCTAATTAACCTAGAGACTTGAAATTAGGAACATTATTTTTGAACATAATATAAAGATTGCCCTGATGAAATTACAGCTGCTTTATTGTTACTATTTTTTTCACAAGTTGTCAAAAATTGGTGAAAAACTGCTTTCACTTTGCCTTTCTTACTCCCGCTCTTCCCCACTACTGCAGCCCTAGATCTAGGTTTTGGGGGCCCTACTAAACCTCACTCTTCTTTGCAAATTTCCACACCCAGTTCGTCATTTATAACAATCTTCGACCAATTCAACAGTTTCTGAGTCACTTTCGCTGTCAAATGTTTGAATACAGTCAAAGAAGTGGTCTGCTTTTGTGCGAAACGTCTGAATATATTCAGTTGTTATGATGGTTGTCGTAAAAATCAATAACTCAACTTGCGCTAGTCCAATTTCAGCTTCGTTTCTTTCTAACGAAAGATAATTGAATGGGTTACGAAAAAGACGAACCAGTATGGCAAACAGTGCTGTTTTAACGTGAGAAAAAAATTCTAAAATGTGAACCGCGAGGGTAGCGGGTGTGATATCAAAACGTCGAAGCTACTTTACCCGCAACAGTTGCAGGTGTGGTAGTGAGTGAGTTAAACAAGTTCAGTGTCTCAAAATTCATCTTCATCACACACAGCACAGCGCTCCAAGAATGAATCTAAACAATTCAAGAAGTGAATTTTACTTTTTGCTGCTAGTCTTTCTTCCAACAAATTCCATATATATCGGTACAAGCTTCACCTAGATTTCCAGCTACAGTACAAGTTTTTGCTTACTTACTTCAATCAAAGTCTTCTTTTGGGCGCTGGCTGAGACAAATAAGTGTCTGTTTTCAAACAATAGCTTTCAATCAAAATAGGCTCTTTGTGACACAGAAAAAACTATAATATATAACATCTGCATCAGACCAGGGCCAAAAGTCATACAATAATTTTTATGTGACAAGAAAGTAACAAAACTTTAAAACACTGAACATAAATAATAAAACATTAATCTTAATGCAGTTAACTTCATTTCCGTACCCGTGAACCTCCACCTTTCACTTTTTGCTGTCTTGCCTTTTGTCTTCCTGAAAACAAAGAAAAGTTATTAAAATAATTTACATTAGATATTGGACTTGAAATAATTGAGATGCAATTCTGGTACGACAATGTCAGACATGTATTTTTCTAATGGACCCTCATCATTACTACTGTACGGTACTATAATAAAACACTTCACAACAAATAATTAAAAAACCCAAAAACATTTAAAGGCAAGGCAAAAGTTCAACACGTTTTAAAAAAAACACGAGTCGGCAATATATAAGCCTCTTCAAGATGGTGAAGAATGGCTTACAGCACACACTCACACTGTTGTGAACGATGGTCATTGCTTCAAAGAAAAGAGGCTGCAAAGTTTCAGGATAGAATTAAAATAAATAAAAGGTGTCAGTAACTTACAAGTAAAAGTGAAATGTTACACTACACCTCTCTATCCTCTCTCCAACCTTTTTTTTTCGTTAGCAGATCCGCTCACACACATATTATTGCCTCAATAACATTTATGAGCTTAGACGTAATTTATTGCATCTGCGGCACTAAGTGAGCATATATATAATATGAACGGAAACTTTGATCAACTCTGAACTAGGTCTTGTCGTTTGCCTACGTGGTGCTTCACCTTTTTGAAGGAAGACAAAAATAAGCAAGCACAAATGACGCGAATTGACCTATTGTGTTTCTTCACATTTTCACATAGGAAAGGTACAAACCGTACAGCAGAGTACATCAGATATTGAAAACAACAGACCAAGACCTACATTAACAATTCAAAGTGTCTATTTGAAACGCATCGTTGCCATATTAGCCCCATGCTAAATATACAACACTGCGCATTGAATCCTGTGCTAATTAAAACGCCAAGCTTAGATCACGCATGATTTCCGGTCAGCCGGCAAACTCAACCTGTTGAACTGCACGTTGCAAGTTGATGTGATGTTTTCATAATTAGACGATGGCTGAACCTTTACTGAAAGGCGGAGATGAATTCCCCTGTTGAAATGACTTTTTGAAGCTGTTCATAGGTATTCGGAATCTACCAATCAGCCTTTTGTGAAGATTGGGAATAAAACTGTACTTTAATCTCCCTCAAACCTCAGTTATCAATATTCCAGTACTCTTGTTGGTCTTTTCAGGATTTCAGATTTCCGGCTTTTGGTCCGGGGGAAAACTCAGAAGATGCTGATTAGTGATAAATGTTAGAGGTGCCTCCCCCCCCCGATGACTGATTTCTCACACAAAACGCGGCGGCCGCTGGCAAACGAAAATCTCGGGCTGCGCGGGACGATATCCAAGTACCTAGTTAGGCACGTCCTGTCGATTAGCGTAATTGCACAACGCGCCAATATGTGGATGCATAGAATGCGCAACAATCCACCTGTATTCGATCGGTGGATAGCGCAGCGCTTTTAATGGATCTATAGAATGCACAACGGATCTTAGATCTTACCTGAGTGTCGAGTATTTCGTTTTTCTGCTGCTATGAAATAAGGTACATCATCTTCAACAGATGAGCGTCCACATCCATTTGTTTGTTGACATTGCACTAAGCGGCAGGCAGTTAACATTCTATGAATCCACAAAAAGCGCTGCACAATCCACTGATCAACAGAATGTGCAACACTCGATGGACTGTTGTGAATTCCAGGGATCCACAAAATGCGTAGCGCCATCCACCGATCACGCAAATCGACAAAACAACGCGCCTAACAATTAGAAGGTTTTAAAAAGGCTGCCATTATTCCCACCCCCGGTGGACCCCCCCCCCAAAGACATTCAAAAATATTTTACTTTTTTTTTTACTAAGGTGTGTGTGTGTTCTTGTGTTCATGATTTAGTTTTACTTTCATTTACGAGTATTTTTGGTCTTTTTTTTGTTGCTATCACGACTATCATTGATAGTATCAATGAGATTGATTTGATGTGACAGAAAGCATTCAAAAGCTAAAAGTAGTAAAAGTGACGTTTTCCCTCTTTGCATTTAAATGAGCACTCTCGTTTGAATGTGCTCAATATTTCCAGACCCAGCATAAAATTGTGGAGGTGTACTAGAACTAGTCTAGATTTAGTCTTAGATCTACTTACATGCAATTATACGTAGAAGGATGCAAATTATTTCTAATCTATGTAAGGCAAGGTGCCCATCTGGTTTGAGGTCAGACCAGGATACCCCACCGATCACATGACTACGTGTAAGTATAGCCAACCGCATGGCACCCAAAGATGGAAGTGTCTATGTAGCTTAATCTACCTCTCGCTGTCGAAAGTTCTGATGGCCCAATAGACAGCGCGTTTGCGTTTGAAGTCATGCAATGATTTTATGAGCGGTTCGATCCTGGTCCTGGACAGTTTTTTTTTTCTCTTCTCCTCCTCCCGACTGACCATGACAGTTTGTCCCATAAATTATAATTTGTTGCTTTGTTGTTTGTTTGTTTTTTAAATGTATAATAGTGATGAAGACTGCAGGGGGGGGTTGGATCTAGATGCTTAGAGTGAAATCCGGCAGGGGGGAAAAGAAAGTTTATCGCTGTCCAGTGCATAAGAGTGTCTAATCTCCTTGAGAAAAGACTCAAATTTTTAAAACTCCAACTTAAAATTACATAAAATTTTGCAACTTATTTTTTGGGGGGCTTTTAAAACTCCAGCAAACTTTAAACAACTGTTAGTTGGTGTGAATGAAGAAACTGTGGCACATCGTCGAAATAGATGAAAACCTTGTGGCCAAGGCCAAGCGGAAATACAACGTTGGACACGCTGTGCCGAAGCGGTGGGTTTTTGGGGGAGTTGATAGAAACACCGGACGAAGGTTCTTGGAACTTGCAGCACAGCAGCAACCCTTAGAGCTGGATCCTGCTCGCCAAATCTGAGAGTGGCCATTCGTGATTCAGTCGGCTTCAATGAATCGCGAGTACGTGAGCGCTTGCGGAACTCCGGCGGAACACTGATTGAAACGGAAGAGTGTCATATCAATGCCACTAGGCGAGCGTGAGTCCCACTTTTGTTGTCTCTCCATCCTTCCTGCCCCACACCCTTCGTTGCACTGCTCTATCTAGAGGAATATCATTCGGTAGCTACAAGACCACATGTATGTGCCATCATTCGTATCTATTCCTTGTGTCCATTATTATTATTTCCCTTATTTGTCAATCGTATTCATCTGCTTTATTTCTGTTCCGTTTTTGTCCCAGTCGTGCATCGTCTGACGTATGTCTTCATTGTGCTTGATTATTAAAAGTCTGCGTCAAGTCACAAAGAGTGTTGACATTTATTTACTATCTACTGACTTCAATTAGCGACCCCCTTATATTCACCCTCCCCCACCCCATGATTCGCTAAAACAATGGCTCCATAAAATTCCTTCTGTATATAGGTTGGACCCTGTTCATTTTGTTTTAATAGGGGGGTTGGACTATACCATCTTTTGTAAAATGAGGGGAGCCATATATATTGAGTGTTCCGTTCCGTTCTTGCGCTCGCGACTCAACTCAGCAGTAGGTTACAAAAACTCTATGGTTACAAACAAGCTGCTAGGTGGTGACAGTGACAGGGGAGTGAATCGGAAATCAGAAGGCAATACTGTCCCGCATTCCGCTGTTCGAATCGCGTTCCGCAGGCAAGAGTGGCGATTCAGTTCCGTTCTCGCGATCCAACTTTAGCAACCCTGCTGCCCATCATCCTTCGCTGTATAGCACCCGGGACAATCATCTACTCCGACAGGTGGCAGGCATGTTGGCACAGGAGACTTGCCTGTAAATCCACCTTACCAACACCTGTCATTCACGACAGGAATTTCGTCAACCCTGTCACCGGCGCTTGCACAAACAGGGTCGAAAGCTTCTGGAAAAATTGTAAAAGACGATTTTTTAAGCAGACGGCAGGAGTACACCGGACAACTTTAGATTCCCACATGGACGAATTTTTCTGGAGGGAGATCCATGGGGACAACGAGCAAGCCCTCAACAACCTTCTCCTCCACCTGTCCTAAGGTACCCCATCCCCTAAGGTATGTGTGTTATATAATCCCTTTATTTTTGTCGTTATTCTTTGACTCCAGTTTGAGTCCATTTTCCATTCTGGCATATAATCTATCGGGCGATGTTTTAGGCCAACTTTGACTTTGACCTTTCCGTTTTATTTCTGGCTCTCCGATGTCAACAAATGTCGGGACCACCATATCCAAGTAGTGCTTAATTGTCAACACTGCTTATTTCCATTCAAAATTCAGCACAAAACTAATCATACTAATGGCAATGTTGTGCGCAGCACCAGTCACCAAGGCAAGCAAGTGCAAGAATTGAAGTGAAGAGAGAAGAAACCTTGACAATGACTGCAACAAGATTCAAGACAGATCTAGATTTAGATCTAGATCTAGATTACTTACTTTCCCTCAGTTTATTTTTGAATTCTGGATCACTTCTTCTTTTATGGTCAAAGTATACACAATATCCAAGAAAACAAAGACCAGCACCCGCTGCTGCAACGCCTAAAGTTGTTTTCGATAACATGATGCTGAAAGGTGAATCTCGCTTTCCAGTCCAATGGTGAAAGGAAGAGAGAGCTCTCTTGAGAGAGGAGAACAAAAATTACTGATGATTTATACATACTGGATTAGGAAGAAAACAATAATTTATTTTAACAAGAATTAAAAGTACTTGATTTAATTTTAAGACGATCATATTTTAGATATTTTAAGAGTCATCACAGATGTAAATGTTCATAATATCTGTCATTGATTATCAGACAAACACTAAGACTAACTAGATCTAGCTTAAGAAATAATATTTTTAAAGTTAAAAATAGCTATTTGATTTCACATCGAATCCACCTTTATGCTTTTGTAAGAGTTTAAACCTCATTTAGCAACAAAGATAGAGAATTAAGGTTTTATCGTTCGCTCTTCGCAAGTCTGGGAACAAAAAGAGTCAAGTTATTGTATTTTGTGAAGTTTGAGCTGGCAGACCAAGCGGACTGTGGTTGTCGTCCAAATTTTCAAAAATGTCTTCTTTTGTGGCCAAAGTGCTAGAGCATGCTGGTGAGATGCTCAGCCTATTTAATAGATCTCTAGATCTAGATCTAGATCTAGATTCTATTATGTTTTGTTGTACCTGACTTTGTTCAACATTTCAATAGTGTACGTGCGTGTGCGCCCGTATGTTTGTTGTTGTGTGTGTGTGTGTAGTGTGTGTGAAGTGTGTGTGTGTGTGTGCGTGTGTGTGTGTGTGTGTCTCTGTTGATCGAGAGGAGTTCGGCAGAGGGCCGGCACTTACCGTGACAAGATCCACTGAGCAAACTAGATCTATATCTAGATCTAGATTCTAGATCTGTCTATACTATACTTCTATACACAAGAGTTTCGGCGCTTTTTTGGTAGTAATAAAAATAGGGAGGGGGGTTTCAGGGGGGCATGCCCCCCTGAATTTTACCATGTGATAATTTAATGTTTTGCAGGTTAGGTTTGATATCTTAGCTCACCGCGAATCAAACGTATAGATTCTAGATCTAGATCTAGATGTAGGTCAGGCTCAAATAAGGGGGGTGGGAACTACCGAAAAAGCACCAGAGTTTCTTCTTGGGTTAGGGTAAGGCCACCTCTAAATTATTCTCACCCGGGATGAGAATAGTGCAGGCGAGTCTTTTGGCTATTCTCACCCGGTGCGCGTTCACCGTTAGGCCTATAGCCTAGATCTAGGCCAACAAATTTTGCGTTCACCCTAAACCACAGAATTCAACACTGTGATAACAGAAAAATTGTAGAATTCTGTGCCGTGAACTAGCAATGCCAATCGCCCGCTGCGCCTTGGGCCGGAAATCGGCCTCCGCGCGAGGGGTATTTTTTGGGCCGCTCGGAATCAGAAGTGACTCTCTTCTAAGTTTAGTTACGGGAAAACTCCTGGACGAAAATAAATGAAACTCGGCAACCAACCAGAGGAAAGGTTAAACTAACGACATGCCAGCGTACAATCCCGAACGATTACTAGAACCGGAGATATTGCCGTGTTTGTGCGAATTTCCTCTGCGGTTCGAAAACTATGCGGAGCTGCGGGTTGATCGCCGACCACACAAGCGCCCCACATGTCTTCTTTATTGCTGTAAAATTTCAGATCTCTGCGTTTAGTAGATTTTCCGTACCAACTTAAAATTACCACCCATCCATTGATAAAACACTAGATCTAGAAACTTGATCGCGCATTCCAAACTCGAGGTGCCGGCATGCAAGAGGCGCGTGATCGCTAGGCGGCATGTGATTGGCTGCCTATAAAACCAAATGGGTCACCGATGACTACATCGCAGGTTTTCCCGATAGCGCTTTACTGAGTTTTAGAAGGGGTGATTGCGTCGCGGTAAAAACGATGTCACGCAATTCAACAAATTTCACGCAAATATCAGTCTTTAAGATCCAAAGTAACAATGAAGACATCGAAAAAGTGATAGCAGAACTAGATTCGGCACTAAAAATCACATGGAGATGCCAAGTTTCATTCATATGCTCCAATTCATTACTGACTTATGAACAGTTTTTCCTAAAAAAACATCAAAACATGTCCCACATTTTGGCGATTTTTTTCCTATAAGAAGGTCCTCCCAACATTTTGCAAACAAAAATCCCAATAACTTTTTTATTTATCAATGGATTTTTAAAATTTAAAAGCCATAGTTCTTAGAATTTACTCTATTTTCATTTAAGCCCATTTTTAAGCAATTTGGATGAAAATTTAATTTTTCATTGTCATTGCTACGTGAACAAACGTTCCATTACAACTGTAGCCTACTAAAAGCGTACAATTTTGTCTGTGGGCAGTGGAGAGAGAGAGAGAGAGAGAAAGAGAGAGAGAGGAGTAGCGCGAAAACTTCAGGTCAAATCAAAATGGCAACCCGCGTAGTTCGGCTCGATTCGAAAAGTTAAAGGAAGTGGCTATTCTCATCCGGAGTGAGAATAGAAAAACGATCTACCTCTCACCCCGGGTGAGACTTGCCAGCGTAGGCTATTCTCACCCGGTGCGAAACAAGACCTGCTTTTCTCATTTTGGAATACTGTCTATCGGTGTGGATGATCAAATTGATAAAAGCCAAGAAAAAATTACGTTATAGCACAAAAGTAAGCTAATTTGATCATCTTCAAAGATGCTATGGCTATTTCACTGTTCGAATCGAGCCGAACTACGCAGGTCGCCATTTTGTTTTGCCCGGAAGTTCTCGCAAGATCTACTCCTCCCCTCTCTCTCTCTCTCTCTGTCTCTTTCTGAATACTGTCTATCGGTGTGGACAATCAAATTGACCAAAACAAAGTTAAAAAATGATGTTAAAACACAAAAGTAAATTAATTTGGTTCTCTACTTCCTTAGGGTAAACCCAGTGCTGTTCAAAATATCTCCTCTTTTTTGTGTGTTGTTGGTCGGCCGGCCCTCTGCGGAACTCCTTCCTGTTGATCGAGTGTGTGTAGTGTAGATCTAGAGTCTAGTTTATCATATGTAAATGTTTGTGTGTGTGTGTGAGCATATTAGGCCGTCATCATTCGGACTCGAGTCCGAATAACATTTTTTCATCGAGTCCGAATAACATTTTTTCATATTCGGACTCGAGTCCGAATATTAAAAAATGTTATTCGGACTCTGATTCTTGTCCAGCATGACATCACTTCCGACTTCCTGTGACTCGTGACTCCGGCTTCCTGTCCTGCCTCACTCGTGACTCGCCTCAGGCTGGGTAGAGACCGGGATCACTTCGGGCAAAATGGCGTTTTGTGCAGGAGCCGAGCTTTAATCTTATGATGAATTTGAGGCCGGCCCACCCTGTCACAACATTAGAACTCAGTGTGCTGTAACTACATTTCATAGAAAAAAACTGTGATATTATGCTGAATTTCTCAATGCATTGAGCAAACCCTTGATGTTTAGAACAGTTTGACCTTAATTAATGTGACTATTTGGAAAACTTTATTCAGAAGTTGCTTCCATTGGTGTCAATGGGAGCAATTTTGAATTTCAGATAAATCTTCACATAAGCATGGATGTTTGAATTTTTCTGTGAAACAGATATTTTTACATTTATTCTCCCCATATTAGGTCAAATGGAGAAGAAGGCCGTCCATGTCCAGCTGGACGTGCTGCTGGATAAGCTCAGTGGCTTGGAGGTGGAAGTACACCAGCTGGTGGAGAATAAGTACAGTCGATTCTTGCCCACCCTCAATGCTGCTGAAGATCTCTCGCACACAGTACATCAGGTGCACTCAGACCTAGCGTCAGTGGAAAGTAAAATTAACAGCGAGGTAAGCCTCTTCGTAGCTCAAACTTGAAGAGCAACCACCCTTTGTTGCTTTTGTATTTATCAGGTCACATCCTGTATGGCTGACGGTCGTACAGTTTGCTTATTTGGCTGTAGACCTTCTGTCTGATATATTCACAAAGAGGGGGTGGTCGGAGGGCACCACTTGTAAGTCCTACTTTTGGTCTTTCCCACTTTGTTCTTAATTCATGTCTGTCTGTCTTGCTTTGTGTGAGTGAATGACCATTATTATTGTGTTGATGTGCTTCTCTGTACCGTAACATTACTAAGAATGAGGTGCAGGTCTTTTTTTCTTTTATGATTTAACGCTCTTTGTGTCATGCAAACTTTTCTTTTTTTTGTTTTCAGATGTACGTCAGTTCACTCAGTTTAAGGGTCTCACATGTATCATGAGTGTTGTCAAAGTGCAGGCTCTATTCTGGTGCTATCAAAAGGTCTTATCAACAAAGTGCTCTTCAATGCGTCAAGTGTATTGACGGGCTCTTTGACAGATGCTAGGTCTGTGTTTTGAAGAGGTTGTAGAGATGTTTAAATGTAGCATGGTAAAATCAAAGCTCTAGGGAACTTAATTTTTGTGACGTATTTTGTCAATCAGTATGGAAAAATAGCATAAAATTTTAGGCTGATGGACCTGAGTGCATAATTGATTCTGACTTATTTTCCCCTTTCATGCACCAAGTGCACGTCTCAGTGTTCTGCGGTGTTTATTTTGCAGCTGTCACACAAATCCATCCCCCCCTCCCCCGCGGCAGTGCTACTAACTGAAGTGTCTTTAGGCCATTCCCAAAGGGGGGATATTAACATGTTCCTGTGCTCAGTAGAATTGTAAATAGGTTGATATATTAATGTCATGCTCATACTGTGCCAGAACAACCTAGGGGGAACAGCTGATTTTTCTTTCCTCATCCTTACTATCTTCATTTTTCCTCTACTTCTTTTGTATGGTTGTCACTCTCTTGTGAACTGCTATTTCCGGGATGTCTTCATAGTCGAAGCAGACTTTGTACTGTTGAAGCTAGAGAGGTGAACAGAGTAAGCCTGATTCCCCATTTGGACTTCTCTGTTGACATCCACCCCTTTGCACTCGTATGACCATATGCAGTTGCGAGCGCCGTAAAACTTTACTAAAACAAAGCAAACACAAATCTATAGGTTCAAGGTTTGGTGGAAGGGGCAGGGCTTTAAAAGGGTTAAAAGTATAAAGAGGAAATGAACAAATCTTATTTGCTGCAATTGTTGCCTTGTGTCACAGATCAAAGGTCAACTGTCGGTGTCCACCGGGGAGTTCCAGTCACTGAACCAGCAGCTGACCGAGGCCAAGACCAAACTGGCAGCTCTCAACTATCTGGTCGAGATTCAGGATCTACTTCAGGTAGTTTGCTCTTTTTCTTTAGTTCTTTTTATCTGTCGTTTGCTCTTATTTATGTCTTTTTTTCCCTCGAGTTCTTGTCCAACCTTTCCTGAAAATCTCCTTGTTTGTGTTTTTCTCATATCGTTGTATGGTTGTCTTGTCGTTTTCTCGAGTTCCCTCTTGTCGTGTCTATTTTTATTTCTTTGCCTTTGTTCATCCTTTTTATCATACCCTTCTTCTCCTCGTTCATATAATTAACGCAGAGTCCTTTATACTCTTCTTTGTTTATCTCTTTGATCATTTTCTTTTTCAAAAATCGCTGGTGTTAGAGGGTGCCACTGGTAGATCCTACTTCTTTTCTTTCTCAACTGTTTGTTATGTATGTCTGTCTGCACGACTGTCTTTTTCTTTCCCCACACTTGATAACTCTTATTATGTCGATGTGCTTATCTTCACTTAACGATTTGTGGTGTAGGTGACCTAATGGTTAGGCTGCCAGACTCGTAATCGTGAGGTTGCAGGTTCGGGGGTTCGAGCTGCACGCCCAACGTTGTGTCCTTGGGAAAGGCACTTTACATGAATTTTCCTCACTTCACTCAGGCGGGAATGTATACCCGGCCATAGACAGCGAAAGATCGTGTCAATGTTAGAGTTTTAGCACCTATAGATGGCTGCTTGCACTGTTTGCCTCCTAGGAAGTTGAGGTTGTTTCAGAATGCTCTCAGGTCTGCTGAGGTAATGGTATATATTGTGAAGCACATACAGCTTGCCGTTGAGCAGGGATTTGCGCTATACAAATGCTATCTATTATATCTAACAAAATCCTCAGAACTTCTCGGCGGCGGTGTCCACCAAGCGCTACAGTGAGGCGGCGGTGGCTGTGCGCCAGCTGGAGGTCCTGTTGCAGCAGCCGCTGAGTGAGCATGATGACCAGATCTCCATCCTAAAAGAAATGCGTGTGGAACTCACGGTTAGCACTTTTCTTTTGTTCTAATCCAACTTCTCGTATTTGTTATGTAGGAAACTGTTTCTTTTCTTTCCCTCTGCTGTTTCTGTCTGTCTTGTCTTTTCTTCGTGCTCTTATATTGATCATTATTGTATTGATGTGTTTTTGTTTACTCACTTAAAAGTGGGTGGTTGGCGGATGCTCTCGTGTGGTTTGCGCCTTCTTTCCTATCAAACACCTATCGTCTTCGTCTCTTCTCCTTTTTTTGTATTTGTTACTCTCTTGCAGCACCTCTAATCTTCAGCACCTTTGGTGTGTTGCAAGTGCCGTTAAAACTCTAAGTAAAAGTGAATTTACTTTTAAAAAAGCATAGATTGAGTAAAAATGTCGACTCATGCTTTTACATACATCTCCATAACACCTTTCATGTTTCTTTTTAGTTCCTCAGGTGTATGTAACGCTGGGTATGTAGTAGTGTCGACTGAACAAAATAATTGTATATGTGCCTGGATGAGACACTTCATGTGCTTAATCAAAATTCGGGAGTGACTAGCGTCTAGAAGGTCAAAATGTCAGCTCAATAAAATAAATACAGTTGAACCTGTCCAAGATGACCGCCCGTTGTTGCGAAAATGGACTGTGTCTTTATAATATAAAAGAAAGAATGCAAGGCGGTAAATGGGAAATTGTCATTTGGACAGGTCATCATTGGAGCAGGTCATCATTGGAGCAGGTCATCATTGGAGCAGGTTCCACTGTATCTCTACACAACATGTTTCCATAAAGTCTCATGTTCCAATCTAAATCCTTGAGTTACATCCTTAAGTTCTTGAACGTGTCATTAAAAAGAGACAGATACAGTTCCTTGAGCACTTGAATGGACATGAAGGCTTTGAAGATCTTGCTCTCACTAGACAAGTAGAATGCAAAAGAGGCAAAGAAGAGAACTTAAACAGATGGATGATGGGGCATGGGAATAGACCAAAACAATAGGTTTTTCTTGAGAGCATGCAATGAAAGAAATTAGCGACTAACCATCTTTGCCGGTGTCTGTTTTAGATCTAGCAATTGAAAAAGAAGATACGAAAGTGTTGACGAAAGTTAATAGCTGTTCTTGTGTTTTTAGATGGCCTTTCATGATCTTTTGGATTTATAGTGTACAGTATTTTGGACTGTGTAAGTGGTGAAAATACCGGCTTGTGTGGTGTAGGGGTCTGGATTTTTTGTCTTTGCACACAGAAGATGTGAGTGCATTAGGATGCTTCTTTCGTTTTTTTGAGCAAGGGACTGCTAGTGTGATATGCCATTCAATTTCTGACTTCTCAGCAGGGTTGTTACAGGATGTCATTGGTTGGTCATACTTCTTTTCTCTTCTTCTGTTGTCTCTCCCTCTTTTGTTTTTAACCAGCATTAAATGGCTATCACTGTCTCAATATTCTTCTTTTTACTGAAACAAACAAGTAATTCTCGTCAGATCCTGAAGGAGACTTTGCACCGTGCGCTGACAGACGCCTGGACGGATTCTGTGCGGTGGAACGTCCAGGGAGGAAAACTGTCATCATCGCAAGTCGGCAGGGACGTAGTGGGCAAGACAGAGGAAGTCTGTCTGGCGGTCAGCTGTGTGGGGGAGGGGGCCCAGGTGTTGGCCGAGACTGTGGAAGGGCTGTACATGACCCAGAGCCTGGCCGGCAAAATGAAGACTTTCACTGAGCACGTGCAGGCGCAAATGTTCCCTTACATTTTAGAGCGGTCAGATTTTGTCATTGACCTCAAGCCTTCCTCGTCTGTGCAGACCCTGAAGATCTCTGTACCCGATAAGTCAGGCAGTGGAGGCAACAGCAAAAATCGCAAGCCAGCCGGTAACGAGGATGAGGTGCACTATAGGACAGTGTTCTCCAATGTGCTCGCTCTGTTAGAGCACCTGCACAAAATGTTCCTACACCTTGGTTTTGGGTGGCAGGCTGCGCATGAGACATCGTTATCTTCTTCCCTGTCCCCATCAGTCACGAGAGATGCTTCTGAAATGGAGACAGAGTCTTCGCAAGTTGCCACGGTGACAGGGAAGGGGACGTTGATGTCACTGCTGGGACAGGAAGTGAGTCCCTGGCTGCTGGATCAGCTGTGCCGGACGGTGATAGCGAAGGCGGTGCCCAGCAGTGCTAAGGACTTGGAGGGCTTCAATGAGGTGATCACCTCCACCGGCTTGCTGCAGAGTGAGTGACGCATGTGTAGACAGAGTGTGTTGTGTTTTAGGTTTAGTGACACACGCGTAGAGAGAGTGTGTTGTATTATCGGTTTAGTGATGTACCTGTAGAAAGAGTGTGTTGTGTTGCAGGTCTAATGACACATGTGTCGAGAAAGTGTGTTGTTTTGTAGGTCTAATGACACATGTGTAGAGAAAGTGTGCTGTGTTGCTCTAGTTTTTTCCTTACTCGACAAGGACAATGAGCCCGTCAAGATTTTTTACTTACTCCTTTGTTTACATTACATTCTTCCTTGAACCTACAACCCCTGTCTTTAAAATCCCAGGGAAAAAGACTATCAGTGACCATATTACATAATCCTCTTTTTGTGGGTGGTTGGAGTGGTCTGGTGTGGTTTGCTTCTTCATTCCTATCGAACATCTATCATCTTTATCTCCCCTCCTTCTTTTTTGTGTTTGTTACTTTCTTGTAACTCGTCAAACATTCTGCACTTATATGACCTTATTGTGTTGCAAGTGCCGTAAAACACTTACTAAAACTAAAAATCCTCTTTTTCCGTTCTATGTCAGACAAGCTCATTGAACTCGGTTTCATCCAGCCCGACAACAAGACACTGCCAGACTATGTGCAGAACGTGAACGCATTGTTCGCCAGCAAGAAGTGCCAGACGCTGCTGGAAGAGGCCAGGGAGCTGATGACTGCCAGTCTACACGATTCCGTGGCCCTGCCCGAGGACAAACCGGTGGGAGAGTGGCCTCCCTTGCTGCCGGGCGGTGTCAAGAAGAGCAAACGTATGGAGGCTGCCGGCGGGGAGCTGAGCGAGAACACTTTGCGTCTGCCCAAGTGTAGGATCAGGTAACAGTGGTGTCTGGGTGTGTTTGTGTGTGTGCATCTTGCTTTTTCCTTACACTAAATGAAAATAATGCTGTCGCTCTACTTTTATTTTTTTAAACTGTATACCCTCCCCCCAAAAAAACAAACAAAACAAACCAAACCCCCCCCCCCCTCTCCCAAAAAAAAAGCCAAAAACACAACCCTGTCCCATCCATGTCCTGATACGGAGTGCCTTGTTCGTATGGACGTTTCTTTCTTTCTATTGTTTCTCATTTTTATCCTGCTTCTTCTCTACACCAAATAATGATAATAAAAGTTTCCCTACTCTAAATAATAATAATAATAATAATAACAATGATATAATAATAACATTAACATAATAACAATAACAATAGTAACAGAAATAATAATAATTGTATTTTTCTAGCACATATCCATGCTCTATGTGCTTTACATAGGCACTTCAGTGAACACGATCATTGCAGCGGGATTCAGAAAGTCCCATTGAGTTTTGTTCTGGACATGACGTCTCATCGGGACAGTGGATTCAAACTGCCCGTATCTTTGTTTAATTTAGGGGACCAACATCCAAGTCCGATACTTGTCTTTAAAGACCTTTGGATAGCCCTCAAAACAGTTTTTTCCAGGTCGGTGTGCGACTCCTGAGTCTCAAGATATTTAAAGTTGAAAAATAGGTCGTTTCTAACCATTGAATTATTTGAAATTTACCCGCCATATTTTTAAAAAACTACCCTTGTTGATAAACCATTCTTTGTTTTACCAGACAACGTTTAAATGGTTATCTTAGAAGTCTTACCTTGGCTAGGGTAGTTTTACCGTTTTATTGACCACATCAGCAAAAATCTAACTGAACCCTTCCACCTTGACATCGCGCGGAACTTTGAAGTCACACCCCAGAGCACCCGCCAACCCCCTGATTGAGTTATGCATGTGAGAATGAAACTGCTTTCAATTTTAATCTTTTTTTTTTTCCCAATTGCAAGTTAAAAAACTCTTTAAAACAAAATCAGTGATGTTTTTCTTTTGAAAATCGGGCTGTTGTTATGGAAAGTGTGCACATTTCTATTATAATTTTGGATAATAAGCATCGGGCTCCCCTCGTCTCGCTTATGACGTAATTAAACACTAAATAGAATTTCACTCTCAATGTACATGACTTTTGTTGTTTATTTATTTATTTTACATAAAGCAACAAATAAAATCATGCCTCAATGGGTATGATACAACTATCTTTAAGGATTTTATGACGTTTTGAAGCAAGGTTTGGAAGTTTGGGGGCACAAAATGCAGTTGCCAAAATTTGTCCACCTCAGGGCAAAAATTGATTTACAAAAAATGGTCACTTCTACTGAACTAACAAAGAGAGCACAAAAATTTTTCTAGCTCTGAAAACAGAAAGCCAAGATCTTTCCAATATCGACTATACCCCTAACTTCAGTGTCCTTGGAGAAGTTTGAAAATTTCACTGAAGTGCCTACTTTTCTACGATCATCGTTACTAGTTTGTCAATTGTGCTTGTGTTTACTCCAAACAAATAAAAAAAGTGTATCCTTTGTTGTACAGCACGACAGTGGAGTGCCTGGTGCGAACGGCGTACGAGACGCTACAGGAAGCCACCGAGAGCTCCCCAGAGTGTGCCACACAGATGTACTACGCCGTGCGCGGCCTGTTTGAGATCTTCTGTCTGGTGGTACCCAAACACCACAGTCAGAGTCTGGAGACTTTCCCGCAGGTGGCAGGTGAGATGCTGGTGGTTGCTGAGGAAGGCAGAACCCCCCAGAGCGGTGTTACTGACTGAAGTATCTTTAGGCCATTCCCAAAGGGGGGGACATTAACATGTTCTTATGCACAGTAGAATTGTAAATGGGCTGATTCATCAATGTCTTGCTCACAACTGTACCTGAACTGCAACATGGCAGTTCTGCTTTTTCTTTCCTAATCCTTACTATTGTCATTTTCCCTCTACTTCTTTTGTATGTTTGTCATTCTCTTGTGACCTGCTATTTCCGGG